CCATCAGCGCGTGGAGATGTTTGCCGTTCAGCGATCAGATGAAAATGAGCTCCAGGCAAAATTTCTCCCGGCATGCTTTGCGAGTCGTGTCCAACACCGCCTGCTAATATACCTTCATTTATGGAATGATATTACCAAATTACACTGCTGTCAATTATCTTAGGAATATCGAAGGAAACCAAAATTTTCTGAGAGTTAAAAGGTCACGCCACCAGTTTGATCCAGTTTGTTTGTGTTTATATCTTCTTTCTTAGTCTAGTTTTTAAATTTTATAGTCTAGTTTTTCAATTTTCAATTTTATAGTCTAGTTTTTGTACTTTTATTGAATAGATAATATATTTAAATTTTACATTTTAATTTTAGCAAACACGTTCACATTCAAACGAGCCCCAGGCTCACTGGTGAAATGTGTCTAAATAAAGTACTTACTCCCAAGGTCCTTTCATTTGTATGTCATAATTTTGATATGTGCAGCGTAAATCTCAATTGTTAGTTGCACAACTTTGAACTTCAGAATTTATTGGTTATTGAAAGGCACAAAGGTTATTTTATTTTGTGTAAACCTGCTACAGTCCTTATTTTGCTGTTTGTAAACCTCTCGTTGTAAGAAGTGTCATAAGATAATGTTCTGGTTCTCAATACCTTCCTATTTTATTTGCTGATTTTACAGACATTATGTGTACTTTTGTTTGACCTGCTGTGTAGTTTATTTGTCTACATTGTACTAAGATTTAACGCAATATTCTGTTTGCTTTTTACAGAGATTTTATTGAGATTATGTCTTACGGCTTTTGTAACCGTTCCTTTTGTACAGGCTGATTTTGCAGAGAAAATGTGGAAATTTTGCAGAGATTTACACCAATAAAATGCTTACATCTTACAGACATTATGTGTACTTTTGTGTGACATTGTGTGCAGTTTATTTGTGTAGATTTTAATAACACTTTATGATATTATTTTAACTTAAACTTTACAGACATAATACGAAGATTTTATGTTTTCGATTTTACAGAGATTTTTCTCCTGCCCTTTTTACAGAGAAAATGTGGACATTTTACAGAGATTTCTTTAAATGCCATAAAATCTCTAAATTTTACGAAACATTTACAAGAAAAATAGCAACATTTCGTGGACATTTTATGCGATCTGACCGCGAAACATGTACTAAAATTTACAGAGTTTTAACAGAGATTACAAAATCTCTGTAAGTGTGCAAATTTACAGACAATGAAATTTACAAAGGAAATGTTGACATTTTACAGAGTTTTAACGAAGTCTGTAAATGGCTCAAATTTTCCAGTGCTAAAGCGTAATCCCTTCTACCCCTGAAGACAGAAAAACTCTTTTGTCAATCAGGTTCTCGATAAAAAGGCTTGTAACACACGTTTCTGGCTAACTGATAGCTTAACCTTAGGACCTACAGGTAAACCCATAACCCCATCGTGCAGGGTACAGGGGAAGGAGGGAGGTTGGATGAAACCTCTCCTCTGGGATATGCAATGATGCTAAATAAATTTGTCACTAAATAGATAACTCTACCTCATTCATAGACAAGGAACAGCAAAAATTTATTTAGCAAGAGGCAGAAAGGTTGTAAGTTCAGTAGGGATTTTTGCGGAACCCATTTTATTCTGCTGCGAGAAATTCCATTTTTACAACAACAAAAATGTGGAGTAACACGTCCAGAAAATGATTTTAAGTATAATAGTACAGTGAGAAAAATTTTACCAGTAGTTATGAAGTTTCCATTGGTGTTTTTCGGGGTAAATAGTCGTGTATAGTTTGGGACGATCAGCTTAGCATTAACTTCCAAATTGTATGGATGGTGATTTAAAAGAGATAACACCATTTGGAAAAGGTTTAAGCATCTTGTGGTGTGTTATCGGAGCTCTCTGTTTCCTTCTTTCATTTAGTCTTTAGTATTCAGTCCCCTCGCCCTCGTCCTCTCGTCCCCTCTTACGTTTGAAAATAAAATAACAAATAAATCACTTTAATTAAGTATCGAAGTGTTTTAGCACAACTGTACTAATTGGGGACACTGAAACAAGTAAACATATTTTTAACTGAAAAGAAACTTGTTAAAAATCCCAAGTGGTGGGAAGCTGACCAGTTGGCCATTTACAAAGCGTAGAGGAATGGAATCTGGGACCACCAAACACAAATCCATCTACTAGGCAGGGTGGAGGATTTGACCTCGGGACCTCCAGATCAAAAATAGAGCGCCTTGAACCACTAGGCCACGCTGCCTCCATTTGGAAACACTTCAGACTATTTTACACATACCAGGATACACGTGTGCGTCTAAACATCATTAAGGCTGCCACAATGCTGACCAGCAGAAACACGCTACAGATCACCAGAAATGCAATGCTCAGACTCAACAACGTCTCTGTAAAACAAATTTAAAAAATGAAGAAATAGTCATACGAAGTCCTGCAGTAAAATAAAAGAAAGAAAAGTGACCTTGTAATTGGTAATATTTAGACAGGGATAGAGTTCATTTAGACTTGCCGTATGTCGACCTCATGAGTTTCAGGGTAGAATATCTAAGCGAGAGAAGCGAGCTGCGAGGTTTTAGGCCGCGAAGGACTTTTCTGAAAGGATAGAGCTCGTGTTCATAGCGGAGTGCTCGTTTTAGGAAAAAGTACAAAGGCTTCTTTTTTGTTTGTCTACTTTTCTTTGAGTCCCAAATAAGGTGTCTATTTCTCATAAGCCGTTCCTTGTTGCCAGCCTTTGAATACTGATTTCTCTGCCTGCTGGTATACCCTTCGCTAAATTTTGAGTACCAGTTTCAAAAATTAGTCGGTGAGACGTTGAGATTTTCGAGGCAAAATGTTTTACAGGCTGCACAGTATGGAGACCTTGGGAAACAGAGTGGATGCTGACTTCATTTTTGTTCACTAGTGCGGTGGAGAAACACAATAAAAGTTAGAGTGAGACCTACCATCTTCTTCTTTTCCGATGATGTACCGACCTTCAGTAAGAAAACAACAAGTCAGTGATTAGCCACTTACAGTATAAGAAATACACGAGCAGGAATTTTTTGGAATAGACGACATGGACTAACTGAGTTATAACGTGGCAGGAATACAGCTAGAATACATAGACTGCACGTCAGTTGCTAGTTTTACTTTCATTATCTCACAGAGAACATGAAAGGACACTGAGCTGGAATTTCAAAGCATGAAGGAGTTTTACTGATTTTGGCACGAATAATTGGCTGGCCTGTCAGTGCAATGCTAAAGTAACAAAATTGGCAAGCATAACTGCCTGTTATGAGCGTCCGTACAGAACTTTCTAACAATAGAGAGAATAGTTGCCTTGTAAAGACCTGTACACAGGTACGAACTGTTCGAACTGCTTTTTTTCTTTCAGACAGAGTTTTTCCCAATAAGCTAGTATAAACGACAACTGATGTTAGATTCGCTTTGCATGTCGGCCACGCAGCACATGGACATCGGCGGAAATATTCTCATGCTGATATAGATACAGCTATTTAAAAATTTAGCTTCGGTGTTGTTTTGCATGTTTCGAACTGTCAACTTCTTAGAAAGCGACAAAAATTACAATTCATCGTCTTATGAGGAAAAGGTGTTCTAGAACTGGAGATCTTTATTTGAGATAACCAATATTGACTGTAGTGGAAACTTATCAGGATATTTGTGAGGCAGGTACAGAAGTTGAATAATTAAAATTATTCACATGTCGTTCTCCATGTTCTTGAATCCTTTGCCATTCTATTTAGGTCGGTGAGGATCCGAGTCTCTTTACCGCCTTCACGGAGGCGTTTGAAACCGTTTTTAGTGTTATCATACGATTATTATATATAATATACACTGACAGTAATAAAATGTTCGTTAGTTCTAAAGATTTAACTCGCCTTCTGACACTCGTTTTGCCCATGTTTTGTCTAATTACAGCGAAAGAACGATGAACCTATTGTGGTCAGTAATGTTTATTCATAAATGCCTGTCTGTAAAAGGAAAATGTCTGACTGATAAAGACACAAACTTCTGAATTCCCAAGTTGTTTAGCCGGAAGCTTACTTTTAAAGGTTTGTAAAACCTTGTTTAGAAGAAAGAAAACAACAAGAACCAAATACCTGCAAATACACTTGGAGCAAAAGATAAGGCTATAGCGACACAAAGTCCAACAGCTTTGAAGTTGATCTTCATGCCCATTGCGCTTGATGAGAGTTACTTGTCTTCGACAGCGGGATGCCTGAACGAAACAAGAAGTCACGAGGAAATAAATCTCTTATTCGAAGATGGTGTCGTCTTTTTTCCACAAACGTTTCTTACGGGGGAAGAAAACTCAAAATAAGGAGTGGATTGCTCACAAACATTCAAACATTAGACAATATTCCTTTCTATGATATTGTTCCGATGAAGAGAGGGTCTTAAAAAAGCGCCAATAAATTTTCTGCATAACTGGTTAAATTCCCTTGAGTACCAAGCTGTTTAGTCTGAACACGTACGCGACAGATGAAGCATCAGAGAGATATTTTGACAGGTATTGAAATTAACAGAAAAGTTAATTTTGTTTTGCTTTATTTTTGATCCTTTTGCCTTGCATTTATGCCACGATTTAACAAATTGACGTCAGTTTTTCATGCGTCTGTCCTGTTATTGATCATGAATTTCGTCATAACATTGTCAAAGTAGTTGTGGATCCATGACGCGATAGCAGAGTGGATTTGACAATGCCATGACGAAATTCATTGTCAATAACAGGAAAGACGCATAAAATAATGACGTCAATTTGTTTTTTACGATAACTTATATCAAATTGTCCGCTCTCGCTCGCTGACGCATCGCATAAATTATAATTTATGTGTCTGTCCGCTTATTGACAATGAAAACTAGGCAATGAGCACGCGAGAATTTCTGCAAGGACGTTTGTTAAAACTCAAAATTGAGTCAATACAGTTTACAGTCAAAACCTTTCAGTTTACTTTTTGAAGCTTCTGTCAAATTGACTCGACTTCCCAGGGTTCAATACAACAGGAATGGACAATAAATGAAGAGAACGCTTTGATATTTCCTGTTTGCTCGTAGTATTATTATCTTTTATACAGTTAGGTTAAATTAAAGTTTATGCGTGACTTAATATTGGATATAGCAGATAAATTGATTGCTGCTATTAACTTCCCTCCTTTCTACACATGCGCTAAAATGACATAAATTATCTGAAAAGTTATTGCATCCATCTAGAATTCTAGTGTACAGAGCATTTCCACTTAGGGGTCAACAGCCATAAACATTTGTTGGAATAAGATTGTGTTTAGTATAGAGTTCAACTCAAACAGGACTGGTTTAGGACACCAACGTGGTCGCAGTTCCGTTCCTTTCGTACATCAATATGGCTGCTGTGACGTCATGTGAAAACGTTCTATTTTTTATGGATTGCTGATATCTTCTTTGGTTAGGAAGGTTTCTTGAGGGAGGAGAGGGACAGAATATGTCACATTCGCCTGCCTGCTATGACAATCTGAAAGCACCCCCACCCCCACTCCCCTCAAAAAATCGCCGGCCAAGAGTGGAATTACAAAAATGCCAGGCATTTTGAGAAACGAAAAACAACATTATATTAGTCCGTATATTAATAAAATGTTCTTAAACGATAGAAGTGTTTATTCATAACATCCTTCTGTTGACTCGTTGTTGTAACTCTGACCTAACTCTGTGAACATCTCATATTTAATCACTACATTCCTGGATGGATTGTCTGTTTTTCCTTTCTTTTTTTTACTTCCAATTGTTTAATTTTCTCTCATTCAATGAGGTTCAAGTCGTCATTGTCAGAAATGTGCCGAGTCTGCTCTGGTCTGAAATAGCTGGATATTAATTTTTTAGGGTGAGAGGTTGTATAAGTATGAGTTATTCGGATAGCTCCCGTTAGATTTGAAGAGGTTAACCACTTTAATTATCAAAGGTTGCGAAATCGTTACAACATGTATTTGTAGTTGTAGGAGGAATTTGTTGGCATTGAATCCTTGGTTTACATGGTGACAGGCCTATGTCACCGTCAAAGGAACTGTGTCAAGCTATAACAAGTCATTTTTTTGTCATTGGTATAAAATTCTCTCAAACTGTAAGGGAAACCATAAAACTAATGATTATAGTACGTGCTAAGGACTGCAAAATTTAATTGGTCTTTGTGGCAGAAAGACAACAAAGAAGCTACAATGAACCGAACATACAATGATGATTAGGAATGAGACGGTTTATGAACGACCGGACTTGAAAACATTGGCCACTGTTTTCAAAATAGCTCTTTTAATCTCACTCGGAGGGGGAACACCAAAGAAATCTGAAACAATTCATAGCGAGCTCGAACATTCTCGCCACCAACTCCGCTTGAATTCCCGGATTATGCCTTCATTATTTGCGCTTCATGGACCGCGAAAAATATGTAAAATCACATGAATTTCTTTTGTGTGGCCCACTGAATCTGTTGCCTTTTGGGATTAATTAACTCTCAAGGTACATGTTATTACAAGACATTTTTGTTTGTGTTATTTACAACAAGAATTTAAGCTTGCTTTCATGCCCAGTGGAGTTAACGGCTAGATAGCCATTCCAATCGTAAGTTTCGAAGAAGCCATCTTTTCCTCTGATTTAAGCTTCCATTCGAACAGGATCGGTTTTCACACCGCGTGTCTTTCATTCTTTTGATACTTCAGCCAAATTAAGATGAAGAAATTGTCTTTCGGAGTCATTTGGTTTGGTTTGTTGTGTAGTTTCTGGTTGCCCAGCGTTCAAGGAGCAGGTAAGTCTGTGGTCAGTTACTTAACTTGTAAAGCATTTTAAGGAACACACCACAAATGTGTAGTTTACACGTTTTACGACAAAGTCCTTGCCAACCCACAGAGAACATATATGTGCCAATATAGACGCCGTGTTGACGAATGTTTGCCGCATTTTCGATCACAATTTCCATTTGTTCGCACGAACTTCCATTCCTTTGGAATAAAAACAATTATTCAAGCAGAAAATTCTCAGTTAACCTAAATCGCCTTCACTCCAAATGAAAAAAAAAAAAAAAAAATCGAATCATTGTGCCTTGATCCATGACACTAAATTTCTATCAGCGTCGCTGAAATATTATTGAAAAATTATTCCTCTGTAACAAGAGGTAACTGGATTTTTGATGTGCTAATGTTTTTGTGTTTCAATGTACGACGGTGGATAGGTTAATCAGTAGAATGGTGAACTAAGTAAATCCAAACACTTTTTTACCTTGGAAAGTTACGGTGAGAGTGTATTTAAAATGCTCCAAACAAGAAGTATTGAAAGCTACAGCTTTAGATATTCCTCGTTTTGTAGTTTTGTGTGCATGAAACCACCATTATATCCTGATAGCAGCCTAATGGATGCAGAAATATTGAGCTATGTGTTGTATTCAGTAAGAGTCAAGAGTATATACAGTTGCTATTTGGTACAATTTAAGTACAATAACAGAGTTTTATTTCCAACCATTTATCAAGTCCTTAGAAAA